CTTATAATACGTTTTAATAGAATAATGATAAATACGCCAACACAAGTAAATGTTTAGGCGATTTCTTTTACGAATTTTCTAAATTTCACAGTATTTTCACGAACCGTTCAGCACCTGACCACCTGTACAATGATGAAAATCTATAGATTTCCCCATTCATTACATTGAAAAGTCAGATCTTTACCTCACCAGTCTAGGTGAAATAATAAACAGAAAAATAAATTTTGTTTCCTTGAGAAACAATTATTATTTCTGGAACCAAATGATTTTGCTGTTGCTCCGTCGCAGAAATGTATGGCATCTTTAAAACTTTAAAATAATAATATGAAAAATTAAAATAACACAAAATGCTAATATTTTTTCGTCTATATCTTCATCATCATACTTATATGTACGTATGAAACCAATCAATGAAACCAATGAAATAGGTTTCACAACCAAGCATAGTCAGTAAAAACAAGTATATGGTACAATTTGATAGCAGAGTAACATGTATACTAATAGCGATACGGTTAAACACAACGGCTTTAATAACGGGCTGTCGGTAATATAACTAACTGGGTTCATATGAGATTTAACCGATTGGAAATAATAAGTAGTAATTGATTATACATATATGTATTCTCAGTTGGCTGGATTTTATATACACTCAATTAGTTATGTTGCTGATAGTTTATTCAGAAAAAACAACCAGTTTCATCTAAAGCTAGTTTGTGAAAATAACTTATTAGCAATCGTATGTATTCTACATTTTAGACATGGTTAAACTGTATTCAATGAGAAAAATAATAAATAGGTAACCAGACTTCATCATTTCATACATTTAGATTAGCGTGGTTTTTATGCGAATGTAGTGAAGTTTGAAAGGACTTTTCGTAAGGAAAGTTCTTTGCACCTCATATCTATCGCAATGTGAATGTATTTGTTACCATATAGACGAGTTAAACAGCTATGTTGTACAGTTTAATCTATAAATCTCATAATTGTCATGACATACCTGTTTAGTATTTTAAAATAATTAAGTATTTTTGTTTACAATTTCTGTATTACTAGTATTTCATCATGACATAACATATAACATTATTTTTATTAGGATACCGAAATGAATAAAACTTACTCGAAAGATGATAAAATTCAAGGGAAACCATCCCCACCAAATATCACTGGTGTAACTTATGTGAGTGTAGATTTGGATTGGAAAGACTACTTGAATAAAATTCATGAAAAAATGAATGCCCAATCTGATAAAATCAATCCATTAGCTGAAGTAATTTTCAAGAAAGATTCTTCTGAAGATTGGGAAAGTGGATATATGTAATTTGTTATTCAAAAAATCTCCAACAAAAATGTTTCTTTTTTCTTTTTTCAATTCTTAAGTGGCTACGATCATCAATGTACATGCAAAAACTTAGAACCTGATACATCATATTATTTTCGAATGCGCTTTAAAAATTTAAAAGAATTTGAAAGTTGGAGTGATGTGGTACATGTTCAAACAAACCGTAAGCTTATTATGTTGATATTTTTAAAAAAAATAATGAATTTCTATACAATGTATTTCTTTTATTAGAACTTCCTGTAACTGGTCATGAAATACATGTTGCTATAAGACAGGAAAATGTCTTACGTTTACGCGAGTTACTTGAAAAAGAGTAAGTTATTTGAATTACTAATATTTATAGACACTTAACTATTTGATAAATTCAACAAGAATTTCATTATAACTAGGCGACAGGTAGCTGAATCCCTTAAAAAGTGATAACTTTATTATAGTCTTATTCTTAATGAAATATTAACCAACTTTATGAATTATTGAGAAACAGATAATTTTATTGTTTGATGAGAACAGTTAAAATCCTAAATCATTACAGTAATGTGACATTAAAGATCTTTTCTAGTCTTTACAAGAACCTAGATCATATGTGTTTTTTTTTGAATGACTTTTGATCATATTTATGTTGGTGTTAAGCATTCTATCTATAAATATGTTATTCTGCTCAGACAAAAACTTTTAATTATCCAGTTGTTTTGTCTCTTGTTAACCGATAATTTGACATTTTAGCGTGAAGCACTTACTTTTTTTGAGTTATTAACTGGAATATTTTAAACGTATATTCTCATCTGAAATACAGAGGCTTCCTATTATTCATTATTTTGATTTTCATAGTAAGTCGTATATTAGTTACTTTTAAACGATATTTATTTCGAATTTTTGTCCTTAGACAAGCATCCATTGAAGCAATAGATGAGTTAGGATTTACTGCTCTTATGTATTGCGCCCAGAGAAATCTTTCGGAGTAAGTCTGTTGAAATTAAATTTGATTATGAATTCTTAACCACCAAAATGAACGCTATAAATAATTTTGTTCTATAAATGTATTACATTGTGTATACATAAAACTTTGCATCAGAAAAAAAAGATTGATCGATTATTGATCACTTTTTGATCGAATGGGACTCATAATTTTGGGAATATATTGATGTTAGTAAGCTCACAATTATTAAATTCGTTACATTTGGTATCTTAAAAGCTCAAAAGATGTGCAAATATCCATCATGGACTGATTTTAGTCAGACAACCAACAAAAGACAATTGCAATTTAATGAACTGTTACTGTCTAAGTAAGATCACTCTGTAATACAAAACTACAAAATTTGGCGAGGTTTGCAACTGTCTATTGTGAAAGAACGTGTAGTTTCTACGATATGCCAGCTGAAAGTTTAAGAGGATCATTAATAGATCTCTGTTGAAAGGAGTTTGCCAACTGAAAAGTATTAAACTGTTGTTTTGTCAAAGTTGTACACTTATTATAAATAATTGTTAAAGAACAACTTTATCATGTAGAGATCTCGTGTCAAGGAGAAAAATTTGTAGTGATCGCTGTTGCTTTTGAAAATTCGAAGATAAGCTACAGTAAAACATAAATATAGGCTTCTAATTCCTTTGAATTTATCGGGAAGGTGTATCTGTTTCACTAAGTATATTCAGGATGTTTTGGAAATTTATAACAACATCACAGATTAGCTTTATATTTGGACACACTAATCATGCAAAATGTAATTTTTTTGTATAAAAATTGGTTTTAAATTTAGTGCTCGATTCTTCAGTGTCTAGCGACGTTTGTGGACAGAAAGATTTGATTGGACCGGTAACCAGTACTTGCAGATTGAGTAAACACCAATTTACACTGATCAATATATTTATCATTTAAACAACTCTGAAAGAACCTTGCGGTTATCTAGGTTAACAAAATGGAGGGTCGGGATAACTAGTGGATGAAGTAACTTAAATATAGTTCAACTTATTGAAGTGCTTTTGAAATGCCTCTTAAAAAATTTGGAATCTAATAATCATAGGAACTATCCAGTATTTGTGTTTGTTATTCGTTCTTCAGTTGGTCTAAAATTCAGTGACATTATGGATTAATATTCTTTAGATCCAGAACTTTTTATTATATGCAGTTATTAAATGTTGTCACGTAGTTTAATGCTCTCTTGATGTGATTTTTGAAAGTGGAGACTATCGATACTATCTAATCGAGAGATTTGTATTTCAAAATACTTCCCAGCCATTACTAACAACTATGCATAATAAAATATGTATACTAGAAAATATTTGTTACATCCACATTGTCTACAGTGTCCGTCTAGTAACTAAATACTTCCTTCATATCTTCTATAGCATGATATCAATCTTACTTGAAGCCAATGCAAATACAGAAACAGAATCTAGTACAGGAAAAACTGCGATTATGTTTGCTGCTTTCAAAGTTAGTAGTTTTGTTTTAAATGAAAACTTACAGTTAATTTCTCTGATTACCATCAACTTACTTGAGATAACAGATCATTTATTAAAAAGTAATTTTCAAGGAGTAGAGGCAAAAAGGTAATTTTATAGCTGAGATGATTTGATAATGTACGCTACAAGATATGTTTCAATCAAAACTAACTAACACTCCCCACACAACGATGGGCTTTGTTCACAGAAATTCGTTCAGTAGTCTATGAAATTTGTCACTATTTGTCCAACTGCTTATACCTGTTTTGTGATCAGTTGATCCTGAGTTCTACGTTATTTCAACTTAGGTATTTCCTTTATGCCTCGGGTGAGATCGGCGTAAGTAAAAAATCGAAATCCATACCTCACTTTTGAAGCTACTGATTAAACTTTAGTAGTTAAGAGAAATAACATGAAAATATTTATGACTAACGGAGGACTCCCATAGTAGAATGAAACGGCCATCCGGTGCTCCCATGTTTTCCATGGTGTTCTAGCTTCAATTCAATTATTAAACTGTTTTCATTAAGTTACTAACTTCATTTCATGTAATTACTCCATATTGTAATTGTATTTTTGAAGCATATTGAAAGGAATTTAGTAGAACCTCAGCCAAAAAGAGGAATAAACTACATAGAATCAACAACTGTAAGATTAGATTTGGTCAAAAGGTATACAGTCCTATAGTTGAGGAGACCTTTGCAAGAATGATTCAAAATCTTTCACAGTTTTGTTTATCAAAATCTTGAGTTTATTATTTCATAAATTCTATTGCCCAGGTTTATCCGTTATTCTCAAACTATTCTTCATTTGTTTGCTTGTTTATTCTGTTATCATAACGATAATAAAAACATTTACAACTCATTGAACGTCATCAAATTAATCTGCCTCAATGTTTGATGTATGACGTTAAAATCTGAACTAATATACATATGTATGTGATTTTAGATCACTTCTAAACGACTAGCTAGATCAGGACTATGGATCTATTATTTACAATGTATTTTATATATGGTTTACACAGGTTTATTTGTGTGCATAAACCTATCATTCAATGTTTATCATTCATACAGTAGGTAGTTATGAATTATAGTATGATTAAGAATCCCAGAAATAACGTAACCGGATCAAGAAGTACTAGAGAAGCACGAACGAAAGTATTGTATTTGGAATTCGAAATCAAGTATTCAACAAGTACAAAGGAATCATTAGTTCATTCAAACACCACATCCGCCACAGCTCAATTTGAAGTCCAAGTGTCTGTAATCGATTGTACGTCTTCTTCTTAATTTCATCCTGTGTCTGTCCGATATTGTATTGGATAAAGACTCTGTATCATCTAGAATGTGATCATTAGTATTAGAATAAACAACCGAAATCGGAACAAACTCACCTGCTTCCTAGGATTGTGCAATCAGCATGCCGGTTATGTACTGAAACCGCTGCTACCTAGAATTTGAACCATAGACCTAGACTGTCCTCCTCCACGAAATAATGTTGGATCTTTACATCCCCAAGATATGAATGATGTGGCTTCATTTAAAACAGATTTCTCACATTGGTTAGAGTAAACATTAGAAGTGTTTTTGTAATAAGGATAAACAGCAGTTGATATGAAATCATTCGCATTGTACTCAAAATCGAGCCCATTTAGTAATTGTGCTTCGCATTGAACAAGTTTCCCACAAGAAACAAGTGCATTATGAGGACAAATAATATTTGGTATGACTTCAAGATTTGACTCTTCTGAAACAGTTTCCTTGAATTTATTAAGAATGTCATTGCAGAGTAAAGGATTATTAGAAAAATCAGCATCTATCAAAACTACATCAGGTTTTCGATCATGACTAGGTTCATTCAACATATTTTCCTCAGATTTGCAAGGAATTTCGTCAGAAATAAGTGTATCATTAGGAAAAAACATATCTGGTATAATAACATGAGAAATCTGATAAGTCGATTGATTAGAAACTGTTGTCTCGCAAGAATTCTGAGTTTCACTTAACTCTGAACTGCTATATGACTCTACACTGTATTTTGAAATCGTTGATAAGAATAAATGATCATTAGGAACATTGGACTAAATAGAATCAGAATTACAAGACTTAATATTAGTTGCAGCAAGATGAACAGTAGTATTACAAAATGACTGAATATGCCCAATATCACCACATTTAAAGCACTTAGAATTACGAAATTTACATGAATTAAAAGAGTGGAACTTGCTACAGGACAAACATGAACCAAATTTGTGCCCATCTTCATGAACTGCATCGCAACTCCTCAATGAATTGTCTGCATAATCTCCAGTATGCACTGGATTGGGATGACGTAATGCAGTGGAATTCTTTATATCTTCATGCATCATTTTGCAAAATCTTCCCCCTTTACGACATTCGGGATTTGTATACTGAACATAGTCTAGCAGTAGATCCTTGAAGGTTGTATAAGAAAGCGAAATGGGCTTTTCCGGTAAAGCCAGAGTTTTTAATAAGCTATATGCTTCTTTTCCGATGAGTGTGAGGCAATGTGCCACAATATTCACATCCTCATCACGTTCCTTGGTCATAGCCCAAATTTCGAACCTTTCAAAATAATCCTCAGAAACTTCAGAAGTTGAATGAATATCTAACTTTTACATCGTAGGCTCCATCGCGACGCCAGTATAATGTTTGAAAGTATTTGGATTATCGTATGAACTAGGAATCCCAGAATTAACGCAATTGAATCAAGAGGTGCGACACAACCACAAATGAATGTATTGCATTTGGAAATCAAGCATTCAACAAGTACAATGATATCATTAGTTCATTCAAACACCACAGTAGTCGTAGAGTTTATCAAAATAATACTCCCAAAGTCTACATTACATGCAGCTGCTTCAATGAACGGATAAAACACACTCACTTCTGTTATGGTTTCCTGAAATCTGCTCACAACAGATGATACATATATCACAATCAGACTCACGAGCTATATCATTGCATAAAATAAGTTAACTAACAAACAATTACATTGTTCATCAAAGCCAACCAAAAAGATTCATATCTTCATGTTACAGTGTTAAATAGGCATTATATTATAGTTACAATTTTTGTTTATTACTCTCCTAGAATTCTTGAATGATATTTTATTTCAAACCTTTCCACCAGAATTAAATACAGTTCTTAATTTGTTTTTTTTTGCCTCTAGTTTACCTTTATTTTTACTTATTCGAATCCTCTTTCGTCAATTTCTCTTATCATACTGATATGAAAACATCTGAGAGCTTGAGCCCACTACATATTTATATCAGGTCTTAGAAATGTTTGTATTTATTCAGCTAGTAAATCGAAGCATAATTTACAAAAGAAGCTTCAATAATTTATATTAGATTTAATGAATAAAAATAAAATAATTCAACTTGAACGCGCGTCGCGTCATATTTGAGACTCGTCGGCTGGATTTACCTGCAAACCTTACTGGGTTGTATTCCTAAGATGAATATCAACTCTGGTATGCAGGTACATCCAGATGACGGGTTTCTAGTAGAACAAAACGCTAATCCTGGATTCCACTGCTAGCAACTATTCATCTCTATCTAAAATAATGTTTTGTTTTCATATTTAGGGAAACATTGAATGTATGGAATTACTACTTGAATATGGAGCTAATGTGAATCACTCAGATAAAAATGGTTTGACCGCTTTACACATGGCTGTAGATGGAGAGCAACCGAGAGCAATCAGACTATTGGTTAAATCATGTTCTAATTTAGAAGCTAAGGATAACAATCTTGGATGGACACCTTTATTACGTTGTGGTAAATTTATTAGATAATGATATCTTGTTTTAAAAAAGAAATTATATTTTTAAAAATCGCAGTAGTTGAAATTAAAATAAACCCACCATTTTGCTCGACGGTCTGACCAAGGCTTCTTTTGTTCCTGAAAGAAGCTTAGGACAGATGTTTGATCTATTTTAACTCCAATAGCTGAAATTTTTCAGTTGATATTAGTTTATCATGAACGTCGCATTCAGTGTATGCATTGTTCACGTAAAACTTACAAGCTTTGATGATTTTCTGTAAAATGTTCTCATAACGATGTTCTTGGTTTTTTTTATTACCTATAAGGTTACTGGTATAAAATGTTAGATTGAAAAAAAAAACGATTCTGCGTTCTGTCGACTTTAGTAATATTAGATGTTGATCCAAATCAATACTATGATCTGTTGAGTTGGACACAGTAACAAATGTTATTGTGAATTTCCTCCGCTTGATAATATTGTAATATGATTATGCCACATAACTGATGCAGACTGATACTAATCACTGTGTTTTATAGAATATTGTATGTCCCATAATTTTGACTAGTTTGATTATCTTTCTAAAGAAAAATAACCCTCACACAAAGTTTCACCTACTTCCATTTTACCTATGTGTTACTATTATAGTTTGTGTTATTTTATATTATTTAGTCAATATATTATGTTACATTCGATCCGCTCTCATAGTAGAAACATCTTTTATCACTTCATATCTTATATTTCGTCCACTTAGTACACATCACAACATTATGCTTCACTATGATACTCATAAAAAGGTGAAATGTTTCTGCGAAATCAGACTATCATGATATCTGAACTGATCAATCTACGTAAGAACATAAAATCTTCAAGAAAACCTCTTAATATATAATGAATTAGTATCAGAATGGGTTTTGTGAAGATTGTAGTAATTTCAACAGTTGAGATCATGAGTCAATTGAAGCTAGACCACTATGGAAAACCTGTAAGCACTGGACGACCGTTTCGTCCTATTGTGGGACTCTTCAGCAGTGCGCATCCACGACCCCGTCTCGTGGGATTCGAACCCAGGACATGTCAGTCTCGTTCCAGACGCTTAAGCAACTAGACCACTGAGCCGGGTACCAACGTTGTTAATGTCTAACTTCAACTAATCCACGAAATTGAGCGACACATCCACCGTTGTCTTCAGTGAATTACTACCTCACAACTGACCTGGTTGAATTTTTGAGCAAATAACAACTTTGATAAGAGTTATCCATGGAATCTAGAGTTGACGCTTTATTTATAACGCATCGGAATATCATATCACTTCTGAATATCAACAACAAGAAAGTAAAAACTAACAATTTGATTACATCACATCACATCAAGTCAATAGTATGCAAAACCTTTAAAGTATAAGATAATCAAGTTCAATATGAAAAACCTGGAATGTAAACTAATCTTCACTGACGAAACCCAAATAGGACAATATGATGCGATTTTCTCGCCAAAATATCATAATTCCTTCTCTAATAATACAATTAGTTATACAATCATGTCAATGTACATATAATAAGTGTTATCCGAAAATTCTAGTTTAAAAATTTATAGATGTTACTCAAACTGCATTAAAATGGTTTTACTTTTATTTTTCCTACATAATAATAGCCGCTTTAAAAAATAATGGAAATGTAGAGGTAGCCAGAGAATTAATTAAACTGAATGCTAATATTGATGCACAAGATCGAGATGGTAAAACTGCACTACATAATTGTATTCTACATGGACACTATGATTTATGCCGGTTTCTGTTAGAAAATAATGCCAATGTGAATTTAAAAACAAATGTAAGTAAACTTTTTGAAAAGCCTTGAGTATTTTGTTTCATTGTTGGGTCATCAACAAACATACGATGTTATTTATTTAGGTAACTATAATGATTAGGAGTATTCGAATTATAGTATGAACTAAGAATCCCAGAAATAACGTAATCGGATCAAGAAGTACTAGATAAGCACAAACGAGTGTACTGTATTTAGAATTCAAAATCGAGCATTCAGCAAGTACAAAGGAATCATTAGTTCATTCAAACACCACAGTAACTTTATTGGAAGGTTGTGTATTATGAACTGACATATCGTGATTATCTAAACGCATTATGTGTACTCAGAGAATAAGTTAATGAATGCTAAATGTCGTCAAACTATCCATTGATTATTTTTCGTATACAGTGACTCAATACGCTAGTAGAGATCTAGCTAACCACAATAAAATTACTTAGAAAGACAATTTAGCTGACCAATACTATTATTAATGTGAAAAAGGGATTTATTTTAAAAATGACGACTTTTCATCAACTAATTCGTTTAAGTAGTTAAGCTACTGAAGAAGTATGTGCATATATATGTATATATGAGAAAGAAGTTGGGAGTGGACCTTATCTTGACTTTTGCAGCTTTTATTCACATGGCTTTAAATATCTTGTACTAGGCAGAAGAATTCGAATCAAACAGAAAACACAAGAATTTTTTCCTAATTAAATATGACGAAAAATACTGTAGATAGGACTTAAATGAAGAAAACCTCATATTCTCCCGACTGATGTTGAGTAGTGAGCGAAGTGAGAGGAAGACTGATACAGAACTTACAGTAACGCTTGGAAGCACATTTCACACGGTGGAACCAGTAACCCTAATGACGCTATAAGAACACAAACAAAAGTACAAAATTACATTCAATAGTAGACTCACTAAAACAACAGGATGCCTGCTTGCTTATCGAACATAATCTAGGATATCAACATACAAGAGACATGACGGACAACTTGCTAAAATGCCTAACCCCAAATAAATACAATAAACAAAATCAAAATGATCAATTTTTAGTGGTTAAAGTAGAACCACCTTCCCAATGGGAATGAAATAAAACAGTAATGCCTTTTCTCATTTTTCTTACCTACGATCACAAATTGAAGATTTTAGCTAGAGAAGATTCTATTCTCGCGTGTATATTAATATTCATTGAAGAGAATTCCGATTTTAGAGAAGGCAAAAAGATTTAATAAATCCAATATATTGAACACATTATGCTATCCTTTGTTTAAATTAAGGAAACTATCTAAAATAGACTCAAATATATTCGTGGACTGATTGAAGTTAAACATTAACACCGTAGGATGCTGACTCACTGGTCTACAGGTTAGGCATTCGCGCACAAGTCCGATAGATCCTGGGTCCGAATCCCCCAAACAGCGTCATGGATGCGCACGGCTGAGGAGTCCCATACTGGGACGAAACTGTTGTTCAGTGCTTCCACGTTTCCCATGGTGGTTTAGCTTTAATTGACTCATGAAGTGAACTATTAAAAAGGTTACTGAATTATTTAGACTTATATTCTATCAATAATTACCTCTTCCAGTTAGCATTGGTTTCTGTCACTAAGCATTTCAGTGTAAGCTAAAGCAAATATTACTCATTATTTTTCAGTAAGTCAATTTAACTAAATCGTAGTTTTTAAA